GGGATGTGGTGTGGTGTGGTGCAGCGACGTGGTGCGGTCCTTGCAAGCTGATTGCGCCTTTTGTGGACCAGCTGGGCGACGAGCTGCAGGGGCAGGTCAAGGTCGTTAAGGTCGACACCGGTCAGTGGAATTCCTTGTCTTGCACGCCCGCACACATTTCCAGCGGCGTCAGACGCATCCGCTCCATGTGTGTGCATCTGTGTTTATGTGTGTCTGTGACACAGACAAGCACAAGTTCTGCATCAAGGACTACGGCATCAGAGGCCTTCCCATGCTCGGTATGTGTCTGCGACCCATACCATGCACACACTCGCACAATCGGTCATTCCTTTACCTCTGTTTCTTCTCGTTCGTGTGTCATCCATCCAATCCACCAGCTGTGTTCAAGGACGGCAAGGTGCTCAACTCGGCTGAGGGCGCCCTCACGAAGCCACAGATCTTCGAGCTCGTCTCCAGTGTCGTCCCTGTCAAGACCTAGCTAACCACCTGACCCCCCCACACACACCGCACCGCAGCGCCCCGCCGGTGCCTTTTCTTGCTGTCTGTCGGCCGGCCAGCCGGCAGTGAGTGCACTGTCTGAACAACCCGACAGCTCGCTCAGCCAGCCTGGCCGACGTGCGTGTGTGTGCGCCTTCATTGCATGGCGTGTGTGTGGTTGGTTTCAGCTGTAGAGTGTTTGACAGCACCTTAGCGGTGCCGACGGGGCCGAGAGTAGGGAGAGAGATGGTGATCTGCGTCACGTGGCATGACTTTTTCAGTAGCGAAGGCGAGAGAGAGACTGACGGTTTTGACACTCATGATGTGGGATGAGAGAAAGAGTGTCTGGGCCGCGGGCTAAGGCGTGTAGTGCGGTGTTGTTTCTTGTGTGTGTGTAGTCGTCCATGAACGTCTGTTCGCTGCCGTGGCGTTACGTCAGCGAACAACCGTTCAAGGGCGACAACAAACAGACAGAAACCAGCCACACCCGGCTACCCACGCCTTCGTGTGTGAGCGTATGCATCTAATTGCAACCCTGTTTTTCCGCTTCAACCGTCTTCCATTGTCGTGGACAGACACAGTGACGGCTCTTGCGACGCCTTCCCATCGTCTTCAATCCCAATCAAGAAATGCGAGCTGGAGGAACAGTACTTTGAGCTCGCACCCCCTTTCCTCGCCTTTTGTTCTGTGAGAGTTTGAGATTTTTGAGCGGCAACGCCCCAGTCAGCCCTCCCTTGCTCCCTCTGTGCAGATAGCTATCAAGCACCAGAATGAGCACTCGTCCCGAGCCAGATGTGGAGGTCCCTGAGGGCGACGCCAAGAAGGGAGCCAAGGTCTTCAAGTCCAAGTGTTCTCAGTGCCACACCCTCAACAAGGGTAAGCCCACAGCCAGAGGGGCGAGTGGGAGGGCGAAGACACGCGAGATCGACCCGCCATCCCTCGGTGTGTCTCTCTGTGTGTGGATCTCCGTCTGTGTGTGTGCAGGTGGCGGCCAGAAGCAGGGTCCCAATCTGTATGGCTTCATCGGCAAGCAGTCGGGCCAGGCCGATTTCGCGTACTCAGAAGCCAACAAGCTCTCAGGTCACACAGACACACAGACAGACAGCGAGGGAGGGAGGGAGGCCCACAGATGGATGGATGGCAAGTGTGTGTGTATGTCATGGTGTGTGGTTTGTGTGTGGCAGGGATCATCTGGAGCGAGAAGCATCTGTGGGAGTATCTGATCAACCCCAAGAAGTACATCCCCGGCACCAAGATGGTGTTCGCGGGCATCAAGAAGGAGGCTGAGAGGGCAGACCTCATCGCTTACCTCAAGGAGGCCAGCGCTGATTAACTAGCTAACTGACTAGCTGACCAACCGGCCTCTCCCTGACTGGGTGCGAGTGTGTGAGAGCGTGAGGGAGCGATGACGGCCAGCTGCTGTCCCGTCCGTCAGAGATGTGTCTGTCCGTCAACGAGTGGATGCGCGAACGTGTGTTTGTTTGTTTCTGTCTGTCTGGATGGATGGGGGTGCATGGGGGTACTAGGGAGTTTTTGACGACTGACTCGCCAATATGTGCATGTCTGGATTGGATCATGGCCGCCAGCTAGATTTTCCTAGACCGGCAGGCAGGCAGGCAAGCAGAGACCAGAGAGAGAAGTTTGGCAAGAGAGGATATGAGAGGAAGGCACGATAACACACAGGGGGGAGGGGTGGCTCGTTGTTGTCTGTCATCGGTGATTGTTCATGGCGCGTTTCTTCTTGCTGCCCCATCCGTTTCGTGCTCACGTGCCGTCACACGGGTCATGATCTTCACACCAAAAGATCACGACCTTTGTGAAGGCGGAAGACGACGGAGGGGAAGGGCAGCAGAAGGAGACGGCCTGAGCAGACACCTGGTGAGTTAAGAAGAATGGCCCAACGTTTCTTTCGTGGCCGAGCCATGACGTGGATGGATGGATGTGGGCGGGTGTATGGGTGTTATGGCGGGTGGCGGAATTCGAAGCGGGGCCAAGGTGAAGCTTTGGTCCGACACACCAGTGCAGTGACTGATCGTGGGATGGACTCGCACACGCATGCACACATGGTTGGGGGAAGTCGGGGGTGTCATGCGGGCGAGTGGGCGAACGATCTGTGTGTGTGTGTGTGTGTGTTGCTTTTCGACGAGATGGTGTACGGCTGTCTGTCTATCGCTCGTGGGGTTTGGGACTCAAACAAAACGGGGCGGCGATAGGGATTGATTTTTAATCCTGTCATGGCATGGTGAGGCGAACGAATCACTTGACGGACGGGAAGACATCACCGCTCTCTTCTCGACAGACATACCTCACACCCACACCCCTCCCACTCCACCCACGCACAGACACCTACCCGTCAGGCTGAATTAAGTCAGTAGCTGACCACTTTCTCCAGGAAGGCATACACATCGTGTATCTCATCTACGCGACAGCTCCTCGCACACCGTCGTCTCCATCTCTCCGCTGCCCATCACTCCCCCTCCCATTCATCTCTTCCCCCATAGAGCGATCATCCCCTTTTCGCCCGCGGCCCATCCCCAGCCCCCTCCCGTCAGTCGCCCACCCATTGTCAGCACCACCCATCATCGGGCTGTCGGATGGTGACCTTGATCTCGACCTGGCCACCTTGCCAACGACCCGGGGAGGAATGTCCACGATGGCCGCCTCGCTCGAGCGGGGGGCGTATGCCGTCCTCATGCGGCCGGATTTGGACGATGGGTTGGTGTCGCTGCCGGCGTCTGACTCGGGCGTGAGTGCGCTCTCGGTGTGGGCGTCTTCCAGCTCGGTGGAGGACACCAGGGTGAACTTGGCGTCAGATACTAAACGAGACAGAAAGGAGGTGTGTGGCCCCTGTGTGTGGAGGGGTGGGGCGGGGTACCTACCTGATTGTTTGTGTTTGTGTGGTTTGATGCCGTAGTCCTCTGGGCGGAAGATCCACCGCTTCAGAAAAAACTGAACGACAGATGGATGGCACAGGTGGTCAAAGTGTAAGAGTGTGTATGTGGTTTGTATTTCTCTCTTGTGTATGTGGTTTGTATTTCTCTCTTGAACAGACCATGCCGACGGGCGACACCATGCTGGACGAACCGATGATCAGCCACAAAAACCTGCACACACACAGACAAAGATGATTACATCCGTCCACTCTCTGTGTGTCGGGGCTCGCGTGTTTGTCCACCCCTTGCAGCAGTCCACACACACGCACCGGGTGTTTTTGGGTCCCTCCTCAGGGCAATATGCGTCCAGCAAGTAGCCAGACATGGGACCCACAAACAGCTTCGAGAGGAAGATGGGGGCGCTCGAAAGCGCCATGTAGGTGCCCTCACGACCCTGCCATCCGCGCAGTCAACGCATCCATCCATTCATCGTTCGTGTGTTTGTCTGCCTTTACCTCAGGTGCGATTGTGACGCTGTACTCGTACAGCTTGGGGGACCACATGGCCTCCCCGACGGACAGCACCACCACAAAGGTGATCGACGCCCAATATGCGTCAGACACCTGCCGGCAGACATGCACACATCGGCCGCCGATGGATGGATGGATGGACAAATGCAGGACTCGTAAGGCCACGAACTTACCGCAACGAAGTAGGGCGATGCTGCTGACAGCAGGCTGCCTACCTGCACAGACGGAGCAAGCAACACAGCCCGACATGAGAGCAGCCATCAAGGCACACGCGGATGGCTCCTGTCTGCTGTGCGTGTCTGTGTGTATGGTCTGCTTCCATCGATAGTGCGTTACATGTCTACTTGCAGCAGGTGGACTGCAGCAACCGACCACCGCTCGGCCAACACCGTCACCAGCGGCACCAGGAAGAAGATGAGTGTCGGGTTGATGGAGATGAGGATGCCGTAGGGGGCGTCCTCGCCATGCACACGGGTCAGATACTTGGGCAGCGTGGCATCCTGGTACACAGGCCCCCACAGAGAACACACAGAAGGCGGGGAATTCTGATGGGAGTTTCTTTTTTGTGGCATGTGTGTGTGTTTACCATATGGCGAAAGACCATCCGCACGCCGACAAAAAGCGTCATCAGAGTCACAAACCTGCACCATTCACGTGCGCCGGACAAACGACGAAGGAACGCCATGTGCCCTCGGTGCGGCCCTCTGTCGTCGGTCAAAACATCTAGATGCATGCATACCTCCAGAAGCTGCCTTGCCTGACCACTTCCCAGAATATGCTCCACGCAGACGCACTACAGGCTCACACAAGGCGAATATCTTGTTGCCTGTGGGTGCATGGTGTGGGTGGCCTACGTCTTGGGCTTGAATGCGACGACAGGTTCGTTGTGGTCGATGACGTTGATCTCCCTCACGAAAAAGGCCACACACAAGTTGGCAAAGGACGCCTGTACACCACCCGCAGCAATGACGAGCACACGCAGCCATTCCGCCCATGTGCTGTCTGCCCCCATCTCTCTCCCTTCCTACCAGTGTGCCGATGAGAAGGAGCACTCGGTAGTTGGTCAGGTGTGTGTTGAGAACGTATGGCACATGGACTGTCAGGCCTTCCTTGAACGTCTTGCGCACCAAATCGGCACTGATGCCTGAAGGCAGTGAAGGACGATTTCGTCATTGCAAGTGTAGCTACGCTGCCTGTGCATGGGCACGGACCTGCCAGGCAAGCAGAGATGTTCATGACAACATAGTAGACGCTGTACGCGAAAGCCCGAGTCCTGTCGGTGGTATACCTGACACAACACAAACATCGCAGCCAGTTGGACGTAGTTGCGTCCATGTGTGTGTCGTGTCGATTGGCTGTGCTGACCTCCTGATGCCCAGCGTGAGCACGGGAATGCCGAGGGCAGTACCCAAAGGCAAACCAACCAACTGCAGCCCAACAAGCAGCAATTGCCTGTCACCACGGTGAGGGTGAGGGAAGTGTATCACTCCACTCACCAGGACAGCAACAGCCATGCGAACCGAATAGACGAAACACAAAAGACCTCTGCACACGAGAAGCACACATACACACACATGACGGCGGGAGGAGCATGACCATGCCACTGGTCCATTACAGGTGCGTTCTGACCTGCTGGTTGCGAGCACGGTCATGCCGATGAGTAGTGAGATGCGGACGCCCATGTTGTCGACGGCCACGCCGACCAGAATGCCCATGAGTGAGGTGAGCATGCCGTACAGACCGTATAGCCAACCCGCCTGCTTGTCGTCAAGGCCATACTCCTCGCTGTATACCACCCATCCGGCACACAGACAGAGAGATGACACACAGAGAGGAGGGAAAATGCCTGCCTGCTCACGCACACACCTGAGCCATATGACGAGGATGAAGCTGAATGAGAAGTAAGCGAATGATTCGCCCGACTTAATCAAATACACACATAGCAGCTCTGCAGCACAGACAGACAGACAGACAGGCAGACAGGCAGACAGGCAGACACAGACAGACAGACAGATCTATGCATCCGCGTGAGTGTGTCTGCTGGCTGACCTCGTGGGCACTCCGTCAAGGTGGCCAACTTCTCACACAGATGAAGAACCACATCCAAGCAGCCCGCACACGGCACCCACCACTTGTGAGAGGTGAGCTCGAGGTCGTCGTCCGTCTCATCATCTGGCAGCGAAGCATCATATGGCGTTCGGCGGAGGCCGCGAGGCAGACGGGGAAGGAAGCTGCAACGGCACAACTCATCCATCCCGATTCGTCCTGTTTACGTGCGAGCTGGGGTCCAGGGAACTTCGAAGCTCGGCCTCCAGAGGTTCCCGGCCCTTGTCGGCCTCCGAGCCCTCTTCAATGGCTGCTGATTTGGTGATCGACCCGAAGGATCTCACTGTGGGCGACAAGGAGCTCGGTCAGCACACTCACCTCCACGGGGAGTCCACGGGCATTGGATGCCGTGTGTGTGTGTGTTTTATCCTGTTCCCTAGGGAGTGGTGGATTCGGAGTGGTCTTTCGAGGAGAGCTGCGAGGGCGGCCCGTGGCGGTCAAAATCTATAAGGGAAATGAAGAGCTCGACCGAGAGGTGCTGCTCGGAAGTCTCCCTGTGTCTGTTGTTTCCATGAGTGTGTGTGTGTGTGTGCAGTCGCAGTTCATGGAGGTGCTCAGAGAGGCCCTCCCGATGATCCAGCTGCGACACCCCAACATAGTGCAGCTGCTGGGCATATGCAGACACGACAAACACGGCCTCATGATCGTCATAGGTAGTGAGTTTTCGCACTTTTCGTCCATCCGCCTTGTCCTTTCTTGTGTCTGCTTGTCATTCTCATCAGAGTTGTGCGAGGGAGGCTCTCTGGCGTCCTATCTGGCCAAGAACGGACCGCTGCCGCCCGATGTGCGCGACAGATTCGCCAAGCAGGTCCAGAAGAGCAGACATGCAGAGTCTCTGATGTCTCCATATCATTTGTGTGTGCCCCTGTCTATGTGTGTGTGTGTTTCGCTGACAGATATGTGAGGGCGTGCAGTATTTGCATGACAACCACATCGTCCACAGAGACCTGAAACCCGAGAACATACTGGTCGGCCAAGACAGAGACCCTCTCTTCCACACAGTTTCAGGACTCTTGTTGTTGCCCCACTTGTTTGTCAGTTGGATAAAGGCCACAACATCAAGATTTCTGACTTCGGCATGATTCGCAGCTCTGATAGAAAAACAACGCTGACTGCAGGTAGTCACACGCAGATAGATCTTTCACAGTGCGGCTCACGAGAGCAGAAATGACTCATGTACTGCAGTTGGCGGGACTCCCAACTTTATGCCTCCCGAGGGCTTCGAAGTAGACTGTAAGCAAAGGGAGTCAATGCTACTGAAGGGCCGTATTGTTGTGTTTTTCAGTGGACAAGCTGACCGTCAAGGCGGCCATATGGGCTTTGGGCCGCAGTAAGCAATCTCATGCACAAAACAGACATGTCAAAAGCAGTAGTTCATCCCCTCTCTCCTGTGCATCTGTGTATGTGTGCGTCTCCAGTACTGGGCCAGATTCACGGAGGTCAGCAGCAGATCCAAGGATAGGCAAGACACAATATGAGACAACAGGCATAATCTGCAGGTCGGCCTGCGTTTGAGGGCAAAGGTATCCTGCAGATCAGTCGGAAGGTTGTCGACAAAAAAGAGGTACCCGGGGCGCAGTCACCTCAGTCTTTTTATTCACTCGTGTCTCCCTCTCATGGTGTCAGATTCCTGACATCCCGGTATCTCTGCCGCCGCACATCAAGAGTGCCATCAAGGCAAACCGACAGACAACACAGAGAGGCCCCATGCACTACATGTCTTCTTCTCCCTTTGTGGATCAGAGTTGTTTCGCCTACAAAGCGAGTGACCGTCCGACAGCCAAACAGGTGACGCACATGGCATCAGAGACGGCAAATAGAGGGAGGCGCACACGCTTGACGCGTCTTGATGGCAGGTTCTCGATAAACTGGGGATCTCGACTCCGGGCGCAAGTCAACCGGGCAAGGCCGCTGCTGAGCCATCACTGAAGGGCCCTCTGGGGTGGCTGTTTGGAGGCTTCACACAACAAGGTACATCTATCATCTTCAGTAGCACACAAATAGTGGTACGCCGTCGTGATTGTGTCTTCTCCTGACTACAGGCGCCGCTTCGCCCGCCGATGTGTCTCCCGTCGGCCGTTCATCGGGTGTCCACATGAGCACGGCCAGCACCACGACAGGGCCGCCGAGCAGGATGAGCAAGACCTCTCAGCCGCCGTCACAGCACATCGGTCGGCGGAACACACACACACAGATACACAGAGGGAGCCACACCCTTCGATGCTCTGTGTGTGTCTTATAGCGCCCCCCGCCCAGCAGCCGTCACTGAGGACACCGCCGAGCGCCCGACAGCGGCAGATCAAATACGTCAGGGAGACAGCAGCTGAATTCCACACGTCAATGGGCCGCTATCCTTGTTGGTCGTGTGCAGACTGACATCTTCGATGCGGTTGCGGCCGGGGACGTGTCCGCAGTATCAGCATTGTTGAAGGCGAAAGGGCCTACCATTCTCAACGAACGCGAAGGATTCAGCAACGTATGGATGAAACAATCATTGCCTTTGTACGAGAATGCGGTGTTGTTGATGTCGTGCAGTGGCGAAAGACGCCCTTCATGGAGGTGACTGTGTCGACTAGCTGCCAGATGCCGCTACTACGACGCTCACTTCTGTCCGCACTCTGTGAATCAGGCTGCCGAGTATGGCCGTGTGGAAGTCCTTGAAGTGATGTACGAGATGGGCGGGAAAGCCCTCCTGGAACAAACCGGGACCGTAGGGAACAACACAGCTTGTCTCAAACGGGCCATGCGACATGTAGTTTGTGTCTGCCACAGACTGGTTATGCTGCCATCCACGTCGCTGCACAGGTAGGCGGATACACGCGGATTCCGACATGCTGTCCACTATTTTGTATCAATCAGTGGGGGCGTGTTGACGCTTTCAACAAACTGCTAGAGTGGAGTCATGACAGTCAGCTTACCATGCAAATCAACGTAAAGGAGATACACCGCTTTTGACCCCATACACATGCACGAACTGTTGGTGCAGGATGGCGCAACGCCTTTGCTTTGTGCTGCTTTTGAGGGCCACGTGGATGTCGTCCGTGTGATTTTCTCGAAAGGCGGCAAGGCCATTCTAAATCACCAGAGCAAGGTGATCTTCTTAACTCTCTTAACGCTCTCTGCACACGTTCATGTATGCATGACGCCATGCAGAATGGTATGACAGCCCTGCACTGGGCCGCCAGGAAGGGGTTTGTTGAGGTGGCCAGTCAGCTGCTGGGCCGGATCGTCGCTTCTCAACATCAAGAACAATGAGGTGAGTACACGCAGGTGTGCACACATCGATGGGGTGAGTGATGCTCCCATCTCATCTCATGACAACAGGGCAAGACCCCGTGGGATGAAGCGGAAAAGTATCCGAAGGTCAGAGAGATTATGCAGAAGTACAAGCGATAGGCACTCAATGTCACTGTGGCGTATGGAGGGTGTGAAGTGTGCCTGTCCAGTGTGGAGAGATCGTCTATGTGCATTTTGGGGTGTGTCTGATGGACAGCAGCTGCCACTCTTGTCTTGGGAGCGGCACATGGAGGGACGATCGGCTTTGTGACTACTGAGCATATGCTTATCGGTCAACTGAGCTCCCACGCAGGCAACAAACTTGTTTGAACGGGTCGGGGAATTCGTCGTCGCGTCTCCGACACACACACACCCAGACAGACAGACAGACAGGCAGACATACGGACACCCACACCACATCTATTGTGTTCTGTTCTACCCCTCGAGAAGGCATTATGTTGTCCCTTGGTTGGTCGGCAAATGTTGGGTATGATTTGGTTGTGTGGCTGGGCTCAGACAATACAAAGCAACCAGCCATACATGTCGCACTGTTGTCTCTTACCATCAGCCACTGCTGTGTCTGTTCTGACATCATCCAAACACAAAACCACGCAGTCCAGCAGACAGGCCATCTCTGTCTTCTCACATCCCTCTCTGCCGTCTTTGGTGTGCGGCATCTCACAAGCACACAGTCCACACACATGGCCGCCTGCCTGTCGTAGGAAACTCTCTCTCCCCTCCCGCTGTGAAAATAACAACTGTATGTATGTGTGTGTATGGGTGTCTGGGTGGTCGCCTAATGGCTGTGGCTGTGGCTGTTGGCTGTGCCAGAGTGGGGACATGTTTAATTGCGTGGATGCAGGGGCAGCAAGATCTAGAAGCACGGTAAGGGTGTGTTGACGGAGAAGGCACTTGCAATTGGAGCGACGGACGCCGCTACAAAGGACAGGTCATACACAGCACACCCAATACACCATCGCGAGGATCTGTCTGCTGTACATGCAGTGGAAGGGCAACAAAATGCACCTGGCAAGTTCTCGTGGTCCGACGGCCGCTCTTACCAGGTGCATGAGACACACATACGTCACTAAACCCATTCGATGTGGCACGTCCCCTTTCTGGTATATCAGGGCGAGTGGAAGGACGGCAAGCAGCATGGCAAAGGGACATATACCACCGCACAAGGTGAATGCCCGCCGCACTTGTGCGGTGGGCAAAAAAACGTGGAAGAAGCCACTTGTACAGGTGTATCAAGGAAAGGGGAGTTTCTGGCACTGATACACGTGGGCTTGGGCGGGTACTCACACTGTCACACTGATACACGTGTATGCCGGGGGCGATAGTCGGTGTGTGTGTGAAGTGGGGCCTTCAGTCTAGTGTGTGTGCGAGTGTACTGTTGCCAGAGAGATAGCAGCAATCACATGGCATGACGTGCATCAAGGGATAGTGAGTGTGACCTGCCTGTGTGGTTGGTTGGCTGGTGGGTTTGAGGGTGCGTAGATGTATCTCACAGTACAATACCATGTGACTTGACTTGACTACTCACTCAGCCACTTGCACTCGCGTCACATCACATCACATCACACCACACCAACCGACTCACCGAAAAAGCCGATACATCTCCCTCCCATCTCCTCGTAGTTACAGGTCATATGAGTCTGCTGAGAGCCTCCTTCTCCTCATCGCTGCCCCCTCCCTCGACCAGCTTGAGCTGCCCCTCAACCCTCTCAGCCTCGCCCAGCTCCTCCAGACGCATCTTGTACTTCTGCTGCGCATACCTGACATACACACACACACACACATGGACACATGAGGGCTATCACGTCAGCGGGGGTGGTGTGGGTGGCGTACCTGAGCCGTGTGTCGGTGTTGGTTTGTAGCTGCGCCGTGTTTTTCTCAAAGGCGTTCAAGTGGTGGTCCATCGCGAGGAAACTCACCAACTGCACACACGTGCAACAGGGAAACCGCAAACGGGATGCAAACCAGTGTGCGCTATTCACGCCGCACGGTACCGTGATGTATTTGGGGTCTTCAGGGCCGGCGATGCCGAAGACATCGAGC